GTGCCCACAGGCAGGAGTGGGGCTGGAGTGGGATTGGAGTGGGGCTGGATTGGAGCTTAGAAGGGGATTGGAGTGGGGCTGCAGGGGGATTGGAGTGGGATGGGAGTGGGGGCTGGAATTGGGCTTGGAGGGGGATTGGAGTGGGGCTGGAGTGGGATTGGAGTGGGGCATGGAGAGAAATTGGAGGGGGATTGGAGGGAGATTGAGGTTGAGGCTGGAGTGGGATTGGAGTGGGGTTGGGATTTGAATTCGATTAGGGTTCGGTTGGGTTGGGGTTGGAGTTGGATTAAAGTTGGGGTTGGAGTAGGGTTGGAATTGGGTTGAAGTTGGAATAGGGCTTGTCTTGGGTTGGGAGCTGGAATTGGAGTAGGGTTGGGGATGGGATTGGAGTAGGGTTGGAATTGAACTGGGGTTCAGCTGGGCTTGGTTTGGGGTTGGAGTTGGATTGGGGTACAGGTCGGAGTGGGGGTGAGCATGGGGCTGGAGCTGAAGTGAAAGGAACCTGCAGCCAGCAGCAGGGCTGGGGTCAGGGAGGGTTTGGGGCAGGAGGGGGGGTCAGGGAGGGTTTGGGCCCCCAGTGCTGACCCCCCTGTGCAGGTGGTGAGACAGAGGAGGAGATCCTGCGTGTGGACATGCTGGAGAACCAGATCATGGACTTCCGCATGAGCCTTGTCATGGTCTGCTACAACCCTGACTTTGTGAGTGTCCTGCAGGCTGGGGGACCTTGTGCCAGCACTGGGGACCCCATATTGGGAGGGTGCTCCCCAGGGTGGCAGGCTGGGGCTGCCCATCCTCACCCTCCCTCCCTCCCTCAGGAGAAGCTCAAGCCGGGCTACCTGGAGCAGCTCCCGGGGAAGCTGAAGCTCTTCTCCAACTTCTTGGGGGACAGGAAGTGGTTTGCAGGGGAGAAGGTACTGCCAGGGCTCCCGAGGGGGCTGAGGGGCTGGGGAGGGGCTTTGTCCTCACTGTGTCCCCCGATGTCCCCAGCTGACCTTCGTGGACTTCCTCATGTTCGACGTGCTGGATCAGAACCGCATCTTTGAGCCCAAGTGCCTGGAGCCCTTCAAGAACCTCAAGGACTTCATGGAGCGCTTTGGGGTGAGCAGGGGCACCCCGAGGCCACCCCTGGGTGGGGGTGCCACGGTGGGGGCAGCCCTGACACCCCTGGGTGTGTGTCCCCAGGCTCTGGAGAAGGTGGCTGCCTACTTGAAGTCCAGCCGCTTCCAGAAGATGCCCATCAACAACAAGATGGCCAAGTGGGGCAACAAGAAGTTGTAGGAGCTCAGCACGGGGCTCAGAGGGTGGGGGGAGTCCTGACCCAGCCCCTCCAGCACCCTCCATCCTTGGGGGGGGGACAGCACCCCTGGCATGATGCCCCCCAAGACAATAAAGTCATTTTTAGATCTGGCACCCTGGGGCCCCTCAAGCCTTGTGGTGTTGCAGGGGCACTGAGGTGGCTGGGGGTTGGTGGGTGTGGGTGAGGGGGGGTCCCTGCCCCAAGGGGCGGTCCCTGCCCCGTGGGGCCCGGTCCCGGCGTGGCTGGGTTGGTTTGGGGCCCGGGGCTGTTCCCAGGGCTCTCCCTCTTGCCCTGGGAAAGGGAAAAGAGCCTCGAGCCTCGCTTCTTCCCGCCCCCGCTCCTCACGTGGCTGGGTTGGTTTGGGGCCCGGGGCTGTTCCAAGGGCCTCTTGCCCTGGGAAAGGGAAAAGAGCCTCGAGCCTCGCTTCTTCCCGCCCCCGCTCCTCATTAGCACACGCCTAATGAGCTCTAATGAGGCAGCCCTGACAAAGGCCTGGGGAGGGAGCGCTGGTGCCCTGCCACCCACCCCGGCTGCGGAGCGGGGTGGGCTGGGGACAGCCCTGTCCCCTGGGGCCCCTCGCTGCCATCAGAGATGGGCCCAGGGTGGGCCTTGGGTGCTGGGGGGGGAAATGCTGCGGCCCCCTCCCTGCCCTGTCCCTATTTCCCTATGCCTGCCATGTCCCTCTCCCTGCCCCGGGTGCCCCCCAGACTCTGCACACCCCACTGCTGTCACTTTTATTTTCCACATCGATCGCTGTACATTTTGGGGGTGCAAAGCCCCTTCACAGCGCCTGAGCCCGCCGAGGGGGGTGCCTGCCCCCCTCCTTCCTTTGGGGGGGGCGTTCTTTAATTTCCAGGAGTGATTCTGTGGTTTGGGGGGGCAGGCGGGATGCGGGGGTGGGTTCGCCCCCAGGTCCAGCCGTTCCCGGGGTGCTCCATCCGGGCCGGGGACATGATGGGGACATCAGCGTGGCTCAGTCCCTGGGGCCGATCTGCGGAGAAGGGGATGGGAGGGGAGGGGAGGGGGCGTGGGGATGAGGGTCCCTCCCCCCCGGCCAGCCCGGGCTGGGGCGGGGCTGCGGGGGCGGGGGTCCCTCACCCACAGGAGAGAGGAGCGGGTGGGGGCCGGGGTCCCACACCCCCGGGGACAGCCGGGGCCGGGGGTCCCACACCCCCGGGGACACCCGGAGGCGGGGGTGGGGTGGGGGTCTCTCACCGCGAGGCCGGCCCCGGGGGTGGGGAGGGAGCGTGGGGCCGAGGGTCCTGAGCTGGGGTGGGGGTACGGGGGTGGCAGTGCCTCACCCCCAGGGATGTCCGGACGGGGGACAGCTTGAAGAGGACCCTGCGCCACTCCTCGGGACAGACGCCTCGCAGCTCGGCCGGGCTCATCTGCAGCAGCTCGTGGCCCCGCAGCACGCCCAGGGTCCGCACCGTGCTGCGGGGGCGGGCACGGTGAGCCGGCTCCCTCCAGCCCCAGAGGGACCCGGGGGGGCTCTGGGGGAGGGGGCTCAGGGACCACCTACATCCGCGAGAAGCCCTTGTCCATCAGCCAGGCCGTCACCTCTGCCGGCGAGGAGCTGGGGTGCAGGGTGGGGGGACTGTCCTGGAGCGGGGACAAAGGGAGGGGACATCGCGGTCACCCCGTGCTGGTGGGGGGCGCGGGGAAGGGAGGGGTGAGGGGTTTGGGGTCTCCCACCTGTCTGGCGCTGCGCCCCGGCTCCGGGAGGGGCTCCAGGATGTTGCCAGGGACGTGTCCCCTGTCCCCCCGCTCGTCCTGCACCAGCCACCACTTCCTCTGCTGGTCCAGGACCTGGGGAGGGGACACGGGGGGCAGCGTGGGGGGCAGGCCCCGGGGTCCCGACTGCCCCTGCCCACGGGCCCCGCTCCCACCTGCAGCGTGTCCCCCTTCCTGACGCTCAGCTCCTGCGAGTTCCTGGCCTGGAAGTCGTACAGGGCCCGCACCAGCCCCTGGCCCGGCAGCGGGGACCTGGGAGCGGGGGGATCAGTGCGCGCTCGGGGGCGCTGCCCCGGCCCTCCGCATGTGCAGGGACACGGGGACACTTACTCCCGGCCGGGACGGTCCCTCCAGCCGCTGGCCGGTGCCTGTGCGGGGGGCAGGGACGAGGAACGGTGTCGCGGGTGAGCCGGGGAAACTGAGGCAGGCGGTGCGCTGTGCTGCTCCATCACGGGGGGCAGCCACCCGTCCGAAAAAACCGGGGTGTACGCGGGCACCAGGGCGGCGTTGGGGTACTCGGCCCTGCAGCATCGGGGGGGGGCACCGCGGTGGGCGCTGGGACCCCCCCCTTAAATCCAGACCCCCTTTCTCGGTGTCGGGGGGCTGGAGCCCACCTGGACTTGTTCCAGGCGGTG